TTGAAATATTGTTGGTCTTACTTTCATTACTAGCATCTGATTATTAGCCAATCATCTGGTTCTTCCACCTGAAAATTGAAATATTGTTGGTCTTACTTTCATTACTAGCATCTGATTATTAGCCAATCATCTGGTTCTTCCACCTGAAAATTGAAATATTGTTGGTCTTACTTTCATTACTAGCATCTGATTATTAAAAATAAGGCTTTTAACAGTTCAATATAGTTTAGAGAAGGAGATTCTGTTGACTATAAAATCTAAGTCTGTGTAGCTTTCTTCTGTTTAAAATAAAAAGGTCAAAATTCCTGTTGCAACAACCTTGGTATTGCTTTAGCAATCCTTCCTCACCATAATCATAATAACAAAATAGCCTCATTTGTGTATTTCATGAAAGTAATAACTTACATGAAAAATCCTTATGATATTTTGCAGCCATACAAACAGAACAAAATAAAAAAAATACATTAATTTTCAACGGAATGATAAAAATAAAGATTTATATACATACTTGATCCCCATTTTTTATTTTCTGTGCAAAAATTCCATATTCATATCTTATTCCATAGCCATAAGCAGCCAAGCCGAGGGTTGCCATGGAATCAAGAAAACATGCAGCTAAACGGCCAAGGCCTCCATTGCCAAGTCCAGCATCTTCCTCAATATCTTCAAGATCTTCAATATCTAGCCCTAACTGAAAAAACAAATAAATCATTAATTACCTCTGGTTCCGTGTATTATATACATTGTTAAAAATGTGAAGAGTTTCACATTGAAGAAACCTACAGACAAGTTCTTACCCATGTTAAAGAATGCAACAAATCCCTTCCCATGTTTATGAACACATGTCCAAGTATAGTAATTTGTTACAAGTTGATAATATTGAAATTCTCAATAGAGAAAACAAATATATAAATATAACATATAAAGAAAGCCTTATTAATTAAACAGTATAAACCTCATATTAATAGGTTACTGATATACAGTTGTATCTTTTCTAACCCTGTTCAAACTCCTTAACTGCTGAATTGTTGTATGGATATATTTTAATATTTCTAAGATGACTTTATAACATTCAGACTATTTAAATGTAATACAAGTAAATCTAACATAAAATTATATATTGCATGCATGTTACTTTGTATGATATTTGAAAATGTTCTGCTGTAGATTTTCTTAACATTGAAAAGAATATTAACATTCTTGAACTCAGTTGTTTCCAACTAACTCATGTATAACCAAATATACAAGTATACATATTCTTGTCCTACTTAGAAAGTTACAATCAGTTACTATAGATCTTAAGTTCCATTTCAAACCTTAGTGATTTCTATTCAATGGGATATAATATATATTTGTTTTTATTAGATGTATTTGCCCATCATTTACATTTAGGAATTACTGACTAACCTCAATCAATCAAATACACCAATCCTTTTTTTTTCCTATTTCTTAGATTATGAGTTCACTTACTATAATTGATATACCTGATGATACTAGGTTAACCTGGTAAAATGAAGTAACCACACAAATAATACTCAAGTTTTTTGTTGTTTTTTTTGCTGGTACATTACTGAACTTCTCTGGGAATGTTCTATAATGACTGAATATAGTGACATTTCATCAGTAATGGAAAGCCATATTTTTTAAGAACAAAAACAAACATCCAGAAGCTATGTATCATATATAATTTTAAGATAATAGTATAATCTTCTGAAACTTTAATGATTTTCAAACACATTTTAAATATATTGATGCACCAAGCAGACTATGAGCTAATTCTATCTTTTTAATATACTACACCTCTTCCTCAGAAGTATAAATATATGAAACTAAGATACTGTGTTGATAAAGCATTCTCTCTGACAGATTTGATAGTGTGCAGTCTACAAAGTCTACAGATACTATCATCATCACCATTTTAACGTTCGTTTATTTGCAGTTGGTGCCATTTATTATTAATAATGCTTTTAAACTAATAAAGTATAAAATACCATTACATAATGTTTTGGAGGCAAATATAATCAGAATTAAATAAATTCCAACAACCAAAACTAACACAATTATAACCTAAACTTAAGGTATTCTTTTGGAACAAACAACTTACTAAATTATTTTTATTTGCTGAACAAAACATGGATAGATATAAATTACTTAGTAAGAAGTTATGTTTTAGTGAATCATTAAAACGGTGATGATGATAGTATCTGTGTAGAGCACACACTATAATGTAAATATCTTTGTAGACCAGACGCTATAGTAGCACCCATCATAGAATATACTTACCTGATACATTGCCTCATCACAAGCTCCTTGGATGCCAATGTTAAGCATTGTATTACTCAATGTTCTTCCCATGTAATACTCCAATGACAGGTAGTAGACTCGCTACAGGGGGAAAAGAACAAAAAAATTTATGTTCAAAAAAACCTTATTAGTACAAAAATGGCCTTATAAAGGGTCTCATCTATGAAAAAATACACTGATTCAGCTCTATGGAATTTGGTATTGGTTTCTTAGAAGTGTTTTTACAGTTGTTTTTTTTTGTTGTTGTTTCTATTACTTGCCCTTTGATTTCCATCTATCAGATAAATATTCTAGCAGTCACCTTTATACATATCAATTTTAAAGCCCTTACCCACGTGAAAGATGATATTACTGCAATATCATCTCAATTCATTAATATCATTACATATGGCACAAATAACTTAAGCTAGGGTAAAGATAATAGGTCTGTACATTTTGATAGAAAAACATCAACCTTTACACCCCAGATAATTATAGAACCTTTTTTATTTTAACCAACATTTCACCTTTGCAGTTGAATTAATAAATATTCTAATATCAAACAGTTGTATGTACTGAACCTGATGAAGCTCAATATGAAATACAAAGCTCACACTTAACAATAAAAAAGCATTTACATTGAATGTCTATTATTTATTTTTAATTTCAGCAGTCATGCTAACTCTAACATTCAATTCTTGCAAGCCATTCTATTAAAATTCAGAAAATAAATTTTTAAGCTTTTAATTTATTACTTTCATCCTCATTAGAAAAATTTTGCATTTTCTATTATGTGATTATGAAATTAACACCTTATAAATTCTCAAATCATATTTGTGTGTAAACTTTTTTTTTACTTTTTTTTTATTTATTAATAACAGAAGAGTTTTTAACACCTTCATCCAGGCGTTAATACTCTAACCCATATCATAACACATGCACGCTCCAAAGTAGTTCGCATTCACTGAAAAATTGGTATCATGATTATAAACAATCTAATGTACATGTAGCAGTCCTGAATGCGTTTTATCCACGCATGCGTTATGTAGAATATCCATGCGGTTCTCTTTACCGAAACGAAGAAATCACGGAACCAAGCCTACTATAGCTGCAGCAGTCGAATGAATATCGATCCATAATGCAGTTCAAAATGTTAGGTGTCGCTGTATTAAGTCATTTTGAACAAAATGGCACGAGGTGGTTTATCCCATACAAATAGTAAAGTCTCTTTACTTTTTCTCTGGTTTGTTTTGTTACAATGGGACTATTAATCCCGAAAACTTGTGCACAAGAACATATTACTTATATTGCATTATTTTCGTTGATTGTATATTTATTTAAACGATTTTTCACATGCATATTTCATTACTTACCCTCGTGTATTTTGATATTTGTCATGTATAAAATATTGTCATTAAAATATATTTTAACTTCAAAATACCCAATTAACAAAAAACCTTATGTTTAAATTTTGTAATTATTAGAAAAAATAAATGCAATTTATTTGCATTTCATTTATTTTTAATTGTAATACTGTTTATGAAATCCAGTAATGTGAAAAACAAAGATCACACTAAAAATGTTTTTTACCATTCTTAACCACCATTAATCTACGCAATGAAAGAATAAAAACAGGATTATTGACTTGTTTGTAATTAGCACCAAAAACGACTTCAGCAATATCACACACACAAAAAAAAACTTGACCACATATATCCGTGTTAACACTAATAACAGTAAATATAAAATTCCCGCAAGACATATTGTATGATCATGTAACTTTATTTTATCATTAATTACATATTCTGGGGTAAAGATATGCTTTAACAGCAATATTTTAATCACGATATAATGAGAATAATGCATCATAAATAATACATTCGCTTGCACAGTTGTACGTAATAAAAAACCGCCGTCACCCCAGTTTAACAAATGTGAAATCAACTTATTGTTGCTCTGCGATAATCAGATTCTGCATACAAGTATCATGAGTTATCAGGCACGTAAAGCAATTGGTTTAAATAGTTTCATCGCCTGAAACATAATAAAATATTACTACAACTCATTTCAGTCACACTTTCTTCTGTTTCCTGTCTCTACTTCCAGCACGGTTCAACTTCAAGTGTTAATTCTACGTCCATTTAAAAAGTTTACACTGTGAAAAAGCTGACGAGCATCTAACATTAGAAAGCTAAATTGCGCACTTTACGAACTTTCATCCTTGGTTGACGAAAACTATAGTATATCATATATTTACATATTTTTCTCCAACCTCAACTACAATATTTTATTTCCTTCAGCTGTTACCCAAGACTTGTAATTTATCATTATTAAAAGCTTGATACCTTTTATTATATTTTAAAATAAAAATGTTCCTATGAATTGCATATTTCAAAATTTCATTTCAAAAACTACGCAATTTATATGCCTCGCCCTACCAAAGAAGACAAACCTAAGTTTATTCATGGTGAAAGTTTGCTTTTCACTCTTTACAAAATTAGCCAGGAAAAGATTTAATTTTAATGCTCTTCATCACACCTTACCACCATCAATCTAAGCAATAAAAGAATGAAAACAGGATTATTGACTTTTTTAAATTTTACATCAAAACGACTTCAACAATATTAAGCCACGGTATTAAGCTGCAATCAAAACATTTGACTCCATATTTCCGTGTTAATATAAAATATAAAATTCACGCAAGACATATAGTTGCTACTCTTTTCACTACCTCAAGACATATAGCAACTTACATTTAACCGAAGAGCAATGAACTTGCTATAATACACTAGAGTGACTCAATAATGACTAATCATTTCATTACTACCTTGTGTACTTTATTCTTCTACGTTTGCCCTCAAAAATTAGCCTCAGTCTAACAGATTTATTGTGAAAATTTTATCAAAGATTTTAAATATACCAATAACAAACTTTATTTAATCCTGTCTTCTTTTATCTGTAATCTACACTTCCTAAAAACTACTGATTTAGTGACGTAACTACTAGTTTTTAAGTTAGTGCCAAACCTTTTCTGTTAGTTTATTTATAAGTGGTACAGCGTTTGCAAATTACTCAGTTATTTAAAAGTATGAAGATCTAGACGTTGTTTCGATCGAGCACAAGACTAAACAATAGGTCATCTGTCCTGTCACTGCAAAAATCGAAACCCCAAGTTTTTGCGTTATAAACTTTAAAGCTTACCGCTAAGCTATCGGGACATCCTAGTTTGCTATCGTAAAATTATGTCCCACGATTAGTCCTACGACCTGAGCAACAAATGTGTATAAAGTTTAAATGATCAGCTTCATATAAAATTCTTGAAATCTAACTTCGTGAAACTTGTAATTAGTTCAATATTAGTATACTTCTTTCAATCATTTAAGTTTATGAAATTAATGTAGATTATAAAACTGTTAACCCACTTTTATGAAAGTTGCCCAAGTGCCTTTTCGAAATTGTGGGGAAAAAAAAAATATATATATATATATATTGTTACGACAGCGGGAGTCACGTGACCCTGGTAACATGTAGTGAGTATTCAAATTCGATGACGAGCAACCCACTTTGAGACTAATAATGGCTGGAGACAGCTTGAATGGGTAATGAAGAAAAACTTTAATATAACAGCAAATGTACAACGTTTCGACAAGGTTTTGTACCTGATGATGACAAAACCTTGTCGAAACGTTAGTACATTTGCT